TGCATCAGTTTGTTTGTTTGGGGACAAATTAGTGAGTAAAATGCCCTGGGGTGAAACCAGCAGGAATGAATCTGAATGACAATTTGTAACTGGGTGAAAATTTGGTGTACTGGAAAAGATCAGAACATTGCAAGGCTCAGATCAGTTTCAACAACAGATGTACACTCTCAGTTGGTAATTGCGATTTTTAAGATTGTATGAATGATGAGTTCTTTTAGTAGACATCTCTCTCTCTGCTTTTTATTGGAAATTTATACTACAATTTGAAATGTTACTCAGGTACCATTTGGATCAGTGGCTTTCATGCCAGGGAAACTCATCCACACCAATGAGATCATGGTGCTTCTCGGAGACAACTGGTTCGCTGAACGTTCCGCCAGTCAGGCTCTTGAAATAGTAGCAAGACGGAAAAAATGTACTGTCATTAACTGCATGTACATGGTAATGTTTATCGATGGTGGAGGTTTAGTTAAAGATGCTAGAAACGTTGTTTAAATCAGTGGGGTGGTACAATCCAATGTGTAGTAACTGTGTCAAAGATTTTTATTATGCCTGCAGTTTATTCAAGGAAATTACCTAAGTACATTTGTGCCTTACTACCCAGTAGTAGTTACATCTTCTCAGTGCTTTATGACTGAAGAAGCTACTGCTTGAATGAAGTGGCTAGGGCTCTTGTTTCCTTCTTGATGAGCTGCTAGTACATTGTAGATTGCCTCCCAGAGGTTTTGTTTTTGAGGTTTCCTTGACAGGGTACCAGTNGAGTTCAGTTTAGTAAATTCCTAAGGATATGATGATTCTGGCATTAACTAAATGCTTCCTTTGTTTCCGATTAACAACCAAAATGACAGGTCCTTTTTTGTTTGTTCAGTCTCTGAAAATCCTCAGTGCTGCCTTCTACAAGACATTGTTTGTCTATACATGTCCAAATTTTTGGGAGACCTCAACCATGGAAACTTGTGTTTGGTTTCTGTTTCAAGAGTTGGTAATCTTCTGAGTGGATTCAACAAAGACAAACAAACAAACAAACAAACAAACAAACAAATACAAACAAATACACAAACAAACAAACAAGCAAAAAACTAAACAAACAACCTAAAACAAAACAAAACTTCCCACCCATCAATTTTACACACGTTTGACTTATTTATGGAATGAGAGCCACCACCAATTCACTATTTGATTGTGTTGGTATTATCATTCTTGCAGGTTGAAAAGCAGCTTCCTGAAAAACCCTCCGTTTTAAGCCCAGCAGATATTTACTCCCAGTTCACTCCCAAACAGGAGTTAAAATCCATTCTCAGAAGACCTTCTGTTGAAGAAAAGGAAAGCAAGAGCTCTTTAGAGAATAAACCGGCCACTACACAGCAACTTCCAACCAACAGTCCCAACGAAAACAACGAAAAAGAGGAGTTTAACTCAGAAAAGGTTAGCTGCTGAGAGTCATCGTCAACCGACGGCAAATTCTGTTGTCAAAGGGTGCCCTGGGCAACTAAAAATAAAAATGAAATAACAACAAAAATCCTAAAAAAAGATTACAGTACATCAATATGTAGTAAAAGATAAGAACTATATAGTTGTTACTGTGTAGCATTTGTGATAATTCTGCTCGTAGAGTAGTGTTTTCTGCCTCGAAACGGATAGTTTCTTGAAAACCAAGGTTTAATCTTGGCTATTGATTGTTGTCTTCTCACTCCCTATTTCCACCCACATGGAGAACATTCAATGTGGTTATTAACAGTTCAGATTGAGGACGGTGAGGTACCTGTTAGAAAAGACAGAGGGCCAATAATCAATAATTTTATATTACACGTCCACATGACTTTAATGTGGAGAAAGAACTGTTTTTTAAAACTCTAAAAACCGAGAACTGTTTTTATCACCTTTATTAACCTCGGTCGTGTGTACAGACCTCACTGCTTTCGGTNTTTTGGTTTTACGACACTCAAATGAAAACCGCTCTAATTTGTTGCTACATGACTGTGTAACTTGCTTTCCTGTTGTTTCTTGGTTTTATGATGATTCGTTTCCATGCTTATACTGAGAACTGTTATTCCAGTTCAAAGCAGACGATGATGTTTTCTGAAAACCAAGTTACGTCGTTAATTTTGCTAGGTTTATGTTACTGTGATGGTTTTGGGGAGACTTCTCGCCTCTGATTAGGAGAAGTCTGTGTCCTGTATTTTTCAATCGCGGAAGTAGTGTTTTATCGTGTACTTTAATATTGTGTCCGTAATTTTATCCAATCAGGCATTTACAGGGAACATTGTTGAAAAACCAACTTCACAGAAGACTGAACAAGCTACTTCTCAGGTATGCGTTTCACTATGTGAAGAGCTGGTTTCATGATCTGAAGTTCACTTACGTCCTTACAATTTTGCAGTTACCCGATGAATTCCGATTCTAACTGACCAATCAGAAAATTTTACGAACACTTAACGAGCTAAGCGAAACTTGCCGCGCCCGATAATTGTACCATGTCTTTGGTGAAAACCGTCAATATGTTGTTGACACAGATATCTAACTTCTTTTGCTTCTTGAATTTTACAGACAGCTGAAATCTTTTGTTTTCCGCAGACAAGTGCATCCCAACCCGGAAAGAAACTTTCAAGATTCAAGGCCGCGAGACAGAAGCAACAATAAAACATTGTATACTTGCATTGCGTTCATCCAGAATTCATTTGTTATTCCTGAATATACGCTCAACTTCCCTGCACCAACCAGTTCAAATTGACGAAGGGCAGACTCTTTACAACCCTTATGTTGCCCCTCTCATCTGAGCGTGCTAGTGAAAGGGGAAGAAATGTTTTTTTCCTCAGCTAGCTTGAATCGTGAGAAGACCGAAGTGGAAAGTGGGAAAGATACCGTAAAATTCCGAAAGCGAACGACCCTCGGAAAATAGCGATCCCCCGAAATTGTGCCGCCGGAAGTAACAACGCCCCCGAAAGAATCGAGCCCCAGGGGCTCTCCCGAAAGTAAGCAGGGTCGTCACGGTCACACTCCTTTTGCAAACTTAAATAAGATCGCGTGACGTTGCTAAAATGTAAATTTACTCTTGGGTAAGAACCCAGTAACTCCAACATGTAAACGATTGAAGAGGGTCAGGTACAAGTAGCTGCCTCTAGGTCCACAGCGCGCAACTACATGGAGAGATTACTGGAAAGGTGAAGAATTGAGTTGTTAAATAATCAGTCTAGGAAAGAGAATATGTAGGACAAATTACTAGTATTGTCAACCGTGGTCTGATGAGTATTTATATCCCGAAGTTCAAGCCACTGAACATGCAAGTACAAGTGTTTGGACACAGCAATCTGCATGACTTGCTTCCCATAATCAACCTCCTAGTTTCAACTTGCTGACGAGCTCTTAGCTTGATCCATGAAAGCTGATAGATACAAGCCGAGAAAATGAAAATAGAGCATTTAATTCTGATTTATCACCCCGAAATTATGCAAATATGTTTTTCTCTTATGACTAAGATTACTCACTCGGGCTATATTATCCTCGGTCACTTCTGTGTTGTATATAATGTTTTTCTTATAATGTTTGAAGGCGGTGTGCGCGGAATTCGCCAAGAATCGGTGAACATCGTTGGGCAATGTGACAGTGTGCAAGATCTGTTAAAACTCTGCTGACAAAATATGTCATGATTTTAATTAATTCTCGCCAGCTTATTCTCTCGGAGCCAACGCACGTATTCTTATGTGGTTTTGAATTGGGTATTTTTGTTTTTCTCCGCAAATGTTTAGCGCTTGTTGGTGTTCTGTAGAAATACCTCATTGACCATGTTCGGCTGAACGGCTTGCGCTTGATTTCAGTCATGGTTGATTCAGCGGATAGCGATCGAATGAATATTTCAAACATCTGCTTGCTTATTCATTATACCTGTTTATAAATTCTTTTCATATTTTGTTGAAAAGTTATGATTATAGGGAGTGTGCGGGTACTTCATTAGTTTCCATCTACAGTAATTTGAAAAAAAAAAAAAAACGAAACAAAACAAAACAACAAAAACAACAACAACAACAACAACAACAAAAAGAAACAAACAAAACTCAAACTAAAAGAAAAAATTCTAAAAGGGATGTTCCACTTTCAAACGCCCAATAATTTTAATTTTCCACAGTGATTTTTTTGCTGTTACTCTGAAGGTCACTATGTATGGCAACCGTGTCAAGTTGTTTAGGTCGCTTGTTATCACCGCAGCCCAACAATCTCATATACAGGGCTCGAGTCCGCTCGTTTTCGTTCAGTTGGTGACCCATTCTCGTTCCCAGTGCTACTCGTCTTAAAATGTCGTTGACCACGTGACCAAAAGAAACGGAAGCTCTGGGGACGAGAATGTTGGTGACCGAAATTCTGGTTTTCGATTAACAAATTGTCGTCAGTATTTTATGCGTCTGTCCTCTTGTTGATGGTAAATTGCGTCATAACATTGTCAAAGTGGCTGTTCCGCAGTAAACTTTGACAAAGTTATGACGAAATTTATCACCAATAAGAGGACAGACGCATAAAAAACTGACGTCAATTTGGTTTTTACAATAACAAGACCCCAAAATGGTCAAATTCCCGGAATAAATG